GTTCCACTCTGAGATTCGAAGAGTGAGCTGAAAAGCAACATCATCATTCAAACACATTTTTCCATACACAAAATCCAACAAAAAAATCTATTCATCCTTCTAAACGCAAACTTTTTTCCCTTCTAAAATAAGTAAATAACTAAAAAGCCACTAAAATTACTTATTCCCAAACGGAGCCTAAGTTACACAAGCTTAACATAAATACATTAGTCTGTCTTAATATTTTAATTAACATAATATTTAGTCTTATTTTCATCAATAATTCCTTAATCGTATAAATTAAGAGATGATATTATCATATCTTTAACACTAAAATACATCATTCACATTGTTTAATAACTCGAAAATTTAAGTTGTCGCTTAAATTTTATATTAGTATTTTTATACCATAATAATAATAATAATAATAATAATAATAATGGTAGTAATAATAAAATAAAATAATTAATTTTATAATGATATGTAATAAAATGTAATTTAACTTACATTAAGAGTTATTGTGTAATTATTTTATTAACTAGGGTCAACGTAAAATTAAGTTAATAGTTGTTGTAGATAAAGCTCGGATAAGCTCAAAAGAGAATATAAAAAAAAAAAATTAAAAAAAAAAAAGATAACAAAGAAAAGAGTAATCAGTCAATAAAGGAGGATGTTTCCATAAGGGATTAATATAAAAGTGAGTTATATTATACCTTGAGTCACCATAATATATTTCACGTATATTTTGAGTTACCATAATTTATTTTACGTAATTATGTTGTTTATGTTATAAACCTTATTTTATATAATAAGGAAAATCCATAGATAAAACTGTTTATTAAAATATGTTTTGAGTAATTATTTTATAAGTACCACCACGAAGGTCTCATGCCTTAGGTGACTTAAATAACCATTGGCCCTTGTTTGGCCACTTTGTGGTCATCTGTTTGTCATGAATCCATTGACTCTTGTTCTAATTGTCACGCCGATAACCCCTGTTTTATTATGTTCTTTAGCGTTGTTATGGTTATTTACATAATTTATGTATTATATGTCAAATGATTTCCTTATTATATATTCTGTTTTTTAATATCAAACTCTGTTTAGCCCCATAATTATCCATGGTGAATTTTATGCCCTTATGCTCTTAGTATAATATTTCTCACTCTGCCATGTACTTATAGTTGTTTACCAATTTTTAAGAAACAATACAATTCAGAAATAGCTTTTGGAGAGTCTTAGAGGCGAGACTGCGGAATAAACACACATATCACTCTTATAGTATTTATAATTTCTAATTTTCAAATGTAAATATCGGTCTTTTTGGTCAATAAATTTTGTTATAAAAATAGAAGTTTCAATAATTATTTTGGTACCCTCACTTAAATATTTTTCCACTCACGTTTAGTAATTTGCTTAAGAATTGGCCGAAGGTAACTTCAGTTACTAGCCATCACGATGCTTAACCCTTAGGTACGGGGAGCAGGTCGTGACAAGTGGTATCAGAGCTTAGGTTTTTTTAAATTATTTTTTTATGAAAACATTAGAGCATAAGACACATGCACAAATAGAATGGGGGAAACGTTGAGTTAGATTATTTAAATTAAATATTTGTGTAACAACAATCGTGGTATATATAATTATGATATTTCATTAAATAGATGAGTATTTGTTACTACATATATATAACTGTATATATTTTTCTGTACATAAAAAAAAAAATTAGCAACGTAAAATAAAATAAAATAATGATAGTGTATGTAGTGTGTTGTGAAGTGTTAAGTGAATGATTAGTGTAAGGATTTGACAGCTCATGTTATTTATATTTTACTTTGTAATAAGTAATTTAAAATAGTGAATCTTAAGAAAATCACACTCTTGTGGGTGACTTTGAAAATTTGATAAGGATCACATTCAACGGATGTAGGTTCAAATTAGAATTCGTGGTAATTTTTTTGAAGTAACGATTTAGTAATATTTTATATCAGTTTAATTATCAATTTTATTCTTGATATATATATAGTTATCAGAGTGCGCAACAGATAGTTACTTATATGACAAATTTTAAGGACAAAATTTTTAAAAGGAGAGAAGACTATAATAACTCAAAATTTTAAGTTGTCTCTTAATTTTATATTAGAATTTTAATACCATAATAAATCATGATAATAATAGCAATAATAATAATATTGGTAGTAATAATAAAATAAAATAATTAATTTTATAATGGTATATAATAAAATGTAATTTAACTTACATTAGGAGTTATTGTATAATTATTTTATTAACTAGGATCAATGTAAAATTAAGTTGAGAGTTGTTGTAGATAAAGCTCGGATAAGCTCAAAAGAAAAGAACAAAAAAAAAAGATCAAGATAAGTACGCCAAATGAAGGGCCCCGTGGTGATACCACGGTTCCTTGGAGGAGAAGAAAATGGTTAGATTAGAGAGAAAAGGGCTGGAAAGGCACCTATATAAGGGTGCCTTAGATAAGAAAGGAGAAACAAAGAAAAGAGTAGTTAGTCAGGAAAGGAGGATGTTTCGATAAGGGATTAATATAAAAGTGAGTTATATTATATCTTGAGTCACCATAATATATTTTACGTATGTTTTGAGTTATCATAATTTATTTTACGTAATTATGTTTTAATTATGTTATTTATGTTATGAACCTTATTTTATATAATAAGGAAAACCCATGGATAAAACTATTTACTAAAATATGTTTTGAGTAATTATTTTATAAGTACCACCACGGAGGTTCTGTCCCTTAGGGGACTTAAATAACCATTGGCCCCTGTTTGTCACTTTGTGGTCCTCTGTTTGTCATGGATCCATTGACTCTTGTTCTGATTGTCACGCTGATGACCCCTGTTTTGTTCTGTTTTGTACCGTGGTTATGGTTATTTACGTAATTTATGTATTATATGTCAAATGATTTTCTTATTATATATTCTGTATTTTAATATCAAGCTCTCTTTAGCCCCATAATTATTCATGGTGAATTTTATGCCCTTATACTCTTGTGTGTTTGATTGGACGAACTGGAAAATGGGGGATTAGAATCCATCGGACTTGAGTCCTGGGACTGTGATTCCCCCGGACTATTTGATCGGATTGGATATGTATCCTGTGTTTGTTTTTTCATGGGATTAGATGTCTGGATAGGACTATTTTCAGTGAATCCAATGTTTGATTGGACGGACTGGATATGATAAATGAACAAAGAACTATTTTATCCTTTTTTAATTGTTTACTATGTAATAGCAATATTAAACATATCTTTAATATCTTAATTTTTTTACTAGATTAAATAAAATTTTATTTTATAGTATTTTAGTTTTTACACAATTAAATAAATTTATTTTTTTTAAATTAAATAAATAAAATATCAATAAAAATATATGTTATTTTTTTAATTAAAATTTTAAATAAATTTATTTTTAAAAATAACAATAATTAAATAATGAAATTAAATAAAACATTTATTAAAATTTAAATAATGAAATTAAATAAAATATAAACAAAATTTTAAAATAAAACATCAACAAAATATCTATAAAAAATTAAATAAATAAAACATCAATAAAAAGTTAAATAAAATTATTTTATTTTTAAATTGAGACATTTAAATTTTATTGAATTTTATTAAATATAATACATAATTAAATAGTAGAGGGTCAAAATGGTCATTTTCGCATCTAATCCCAACAGTGAATAGTCCCCCACATTCTATCCCACCCCCCCTCTTAGGACACAATAGTCCTCCATATGGGGGACATGGAGTCCGGCCGGACTCCATGTCCGGCGGACTAAAAAAACTCAAACGGCGGATAAGAAACACTATTTGGATTGTAATCCAAATAGTGGATAGTCCCCCCCTCCAATCCCCCCAATCAAACACGCCGTTAGTATAATATTTCTCACTCTGCCATGTGCTTATAGTTGTTTACCAATTTTCAGGAAATAATAGAATTCAGAAATAATTTTTGGAGAGCTTTAGACGCTGGATTGCGAAATAGACACACATATCACTCTTATAGTATTTATAATTTCTAATTTTCAAATGTAAATATCAGTCTTTTTTGTCAATAAATTTTGATATAAAAATAGAAGCTCTAATGATTAATTTGATACTCTCACTTAAATATTTTTCCGCTCGCGTTTAGTAATTTGTTTAAGAATTAGCCAGAGGTAACTTCAGTTACTGGCCATCACGATACTTAACCCTTAGGTACGGGAAGCAGGTCGTGACAGTATTAGTTTCAATTGTTTTGATCTTACTAAAAATGGTCATTAGTATAATTATGCCAAACTTGTGAGATTTATTGTCTTGTTTGTAAATTGTGCTTAATGTAATGTTTGGGAAGAGGGTTAGGCTAAAATAGCCTACTAAAAAATAATAAGTTAAAATAGTTAATAAGACAAAATGTCACATCAAATCCATAATCATTTCACTTTTTCTTTCACAACTATCAAATCAATTAAAAAAAAATCAACTAAAAAACACAACTATTTTAGTCAGACTAAAATAATTAAAAAGTCAAATAATTAACAAAAGTAGCCAACTTCCCAAATAAGGCCTAATAAAAACCATAAGTTAAAAACCAACATACAACTGAACAAGCGGCAAATTCTACTTATTAATGCTTCCCTCTTATATCAATTTAGTCATTGTAGTTTTATTTACATCAATTTTACCCTCCTTTTTTTTTAATATTATATCAATTTAGTATAATGAACAAATTTTCTTTAGAAAACTAGTCCAAATTCATGGAACAAAATATTTTGTTCACTCTCATTAAAATAATTTAGGTCCTTTCCGTATGGCTTATTCTATCCTTGATTTATATCAAATTTGTTTATAGATACTATTAATTGGATTAGATCAAAAATTTATATCAAATTTGTTTACAGATACTATTAATTGGATCAGATCAGAATTGATATCACAGGGGGGAAAAAAAATAGTTAGAAAATATTTTAGAGAGAGGAGGAGGAACTCAAAAATAAAAAAGAAAGAGCTCAGAAACGCCTAATTGGTCATCCGAAGGAGTCGGACAAGTGTGGCAGACCCTACCGCCAACAAGAGGCGCAGTCATCGTCACAGCTCTTTTAGGTGCACCAGCCGGGAATCGAACCCGGGTCTGTACCGTGGCAGGGTACTATTCTACCACTAGACCACTGGTGCTTCTGTCGTTTTCTTTGCTCTTTTCTGTCATTTATATATATGTAGATATTTTGTCTCATTCTTAAATGCTTACTTTTTTTTTGGGTAAGTTATAAATACAGCTCTGCCATATACTTAAAATATAGATTATCCCTGTGGTTTGAAAACTATTAATATCCACTTTATAATGATTTTTTATTGAACAGAATTAGTTATAAAATAATTTTTTTAACTACTTTCCTATATAATAATAAACTTACCTAAATTATTAATTGAAATATATTTCTGATATCATTAAAAATTGTTAATTGATTTGATGATTTATTGATAAAATGCACCATTTATTATGAAATTAGAAACTTTTGAAGGTTTGATATAATTTCTAGAACCACAAAGAACAATTCGTATTTTAAACAAATCTCAAAAAATGTATTCGTAATTTTATTTTATTTTTATTATTTATTTTTTTTGAGGCGTATATACCATATATGCAAGTTATACCACAAATTGTCAAAACTATAAAAAGCCCGTTTGGGAAATGACTTTTTTAACTAAAATATAAGAAGGAAAAAAAATCAATCAATATGTTTGATTTTAGTTTTCTAAATTTAGTTTTCTAAAAATTGAGTTTTTTATTTTTAGTGAATATTTTTAAAATTTTAAGCATTTTTTTTTTTACTTTTTTAGATGCATCTTACTTAGATGTGTCTAAAAAGTAAAAATATTTTAATTAAAATACAAAAAATATACTAAATTTTCGTACTTTGTATTTTTGGTATTTAGTGAATTTTTTAAATATTTTTTTCACAAAAATTATACTTTTTAAGTGTATTTATGTTAGGTGTGTCTAAAAATTTAAAAAAAATTGCTTAAAATATTAAAAAATTCAGTAAAAAAATACGAAAAATAAAAAAGTAGAATTTTCTAAAAAATTATTTTCAAAAAACTAGAAACAAACCTAATGAATATGTTAGAGAATTTTTTTTAAGTTTTTACGAAAAAAATATATATATAAAAAAAATAGAGTGAACAGAAAGTCATCTTTACTTTTATTGTATGAGTATTTTTTTTTATTAATATAGCCCATTACCAAACGATTTCTACATCATTCAACCATTTACATTTACATCTTAAGGGTTCGTTCAGTTTTTTTGTATTGAGATTTTTTTATTTTGACTTTTTTAGTCTCGTTTGATTTTTATTTTGAAATTTTTTTGACTTTTGTGAGAGAAAAAATGTAATAATTATGAGTAAAAAGTAATATTTTATCTTATTAATTTATATAACTTATTTTGTCTTCTTGTGATTATTTTAACTCCAAAATATTAGCCAAACCATGGCTATGTATAAGTATGTTTTAAGTATGTTTTCTATCTTTAGGTACATCTTTTTAAAAAAATAAATAAAATAAAACTAAGTTAACTATATTTTTATATACATATTAATATATTTAATGAGCATAATATATATTTCATATTATTTATTAGTAGTTGGGTTGGGTTGCAAATAACGTTCTCAAACCTAGCCAATTTAACAAATGGATTTGAAAATCATTTTAGCTCGATTCTATAAGTTTTAGGTCTCGTTTGGAAACAAATTTTTTTATTAACTTTTTGATTTTTTTACTACAACATGATGTAAAAAAAAATATTATGTTTGGAATGACTTTTAAATTTTTTACGAAAAAATATACAAAAAATAAAGAAAAAATGAAAACTTTGACTTTTTAATATAGATCGTTTACTTTTTTTATTTTTTTTAGTGATTTTTTGACTAAAATTACCATTTACCAAACGAGGCTTTAATTTCAATTCCAACTCATTAAGGTCTATTTTGAAAAGAAAGAAAAATATTTGCTTTTAACTTATTTTTATAAAGTCAAAAACCAGTTTATTTAAGCAAAAAAAATTTAGAAAGTTAAAAATAAGTTAACAAATGAATTATTAAAATACCCTCGTGTGTGTGGAAAAAAAAATTTTGCATTACGTTGATATGATCAATTTATAATTTTGTAAGTGATGTGACATTATATTAAAATAATTTAAAAAAAAAAAGTGCTTATTTTCATCTTCCCAAATAATTTTATAAATATGCCAAAAAACAAAAATAAATAAATAAACAAAAAAACTAAATATTTTCATCTTCCCAAAATAGACTAAAGTCAATTGGGATTAGCGGGGTGGACCCCTAGCTAGATTTATAATTTGGAAAGTTAGACGTGATGGTAACATGAAATTTTTTATTAGAATAAAAAATTTCAAAGTATTATAGATCTTAAATAATTTATCAAATTTTTTACCAAATCTCCTATATAATTGTAGAATTCACACAAATCTATATATGTGTAAACCTCACATTCATACCAGAGATTTGGTAAAAAAAATTAACAAATTATTTGAGATTCCTAGTATCGTTCTAAAAAATATTAGAAAGTGCGAAATCAAAAGGGAATGGTAAGAGCCTCTATTGGAGAGGTGATCTACATAATACAAGGTTTTGAAATAGACATGTTGCTAACATTTTTCTATTTCAAATTCAAAAAATAGTGAAAAGAATTTTGAAATTTAAAAGGAAAATTTATTAAGACATCTTCTTTTAAGTATTTGTATCCCAATTAATTCATGATATATTTTTGTATTTCAATAAATTCTATTATTTGGACATTTAATCCACCAAAATTTTAATTCTAATATTTAAGGTATTTTACGAACAACTTTACCTTTACAAATATTTTTTGAAAATTTGATGATATGAAGATTCATATTTGACAGTATGAATATTCATATCACAGAACATTCATACTGCCAATGTGCATATTAATGCTCGTTTCACCATATGATTATTATGGATATTTTGATAACTATGTCACTCATAAGATTTACAAAAATATAAGAAAATAATTTGAATTAAGTGGAATATAAGTAGACGAAGAGGATTTATGAATAAATGTCCAAATTTAAAATAATATAATTATTATAGATCGTTAATTTTAATTTTTAATGACCTATAATAAATTCATATCTTAAAATGGCTATCTCCATTCTTACCTAAGAAAAATTAACTTTTAAGCTTTAAAAATGTGTGATCCCAGTATAAAACATGCACATTCAGCAAGCAAACAAAGCATATCTAAATCCATTCCTTACAGGCCCAAACTAAACCAGGCTCATTGGATTGCCGAGAAGTGAAGCACCGAGTAGCATGCTCGCCGATCAAATGATGTGCCGAGTAAGTGGATCAAGCAGAATCAATAAACAACTATGCTCAGTACCAGAGTGGGCCTGGACTGTCCTTTCCAGAGTTGTAGTAGGAACTTGAGCTCAGACATTTAAGTGATGATGACAAATAAGTCAAATTATGTAGAAAATATCTACACCATCTACACCAAGGGACCATATAAAGAAGGCAGATAGAAGGAAAAATGTATGTACTATCCATCAGCTGGACTTTGTCTTTTAAATATTATATCCATCCCATCCCATACACAGTATAACTTAATTGTCAAAGTGGTAATTCCGTCACTCCCAAAAGGGTTTGAACGATTTTAATTTTTAAGGTTACACAAAAGGATGCTGACTCTGAATTGTCAAGTCAAGGGGGCATGTTACTGACCAAGTTTGACAAAAATATCAATATCCTCACCATAATAATTCATTATTTTTGGGGGGATAAATTAAACTCACCCACCTTAAATTTTAAAATATATATATATTGTACGGGGAGCAAATATTCCGACAAGCCCGTACTCCTTTCTTCCAAGCTCCGTTTATGTCCGATCACCTGCGCGCAAATAATGGTGAGCTACCCTAAATTAGTAGAAAAAAATAATAATTTTATTTTTTAATTTATATAACTAATAAATTAAAGATTAAAAATAATTTAATTACTATATAAATTAAAATTTTAAGAGTGACGACACTTTTCACAACAAAATTATTTGGTCCTTAAAAAATAATTTTGTCCCTAAATTTTAGTCTTTGAAACCTTAATTTTTTTGTAGTGTTTCTTGAACTCTTCATTATTGTTTCTTAAAATCCATAGAAAATTCAGAGAAAATCTCTAGATTGGAATCCCAAGAATTTCTTTAACCTTCCCATGGACAAATGCAAATTACAGTAAAACCAGATGCTTTGTTCCTTGAACTCTTCATTACCATTTTATGAAATCCAGAGAAAATCTCTAGACTGTAATCCAAAGAATTTCTCTGGGAAGCCCAGAGAAATTTTTTGGATATATGTATATTGGTTGTTGTTGTTACTTATTTGGGTGATCGATTTATGTATTGCATATCGAGATTAAGAAGATAGAGAAATTTTCTTGTTTGAACCTAGAGAAATTATTGTGAAAACCAGAGAAAATCTATGGAAATCCAAAAAAAGTCTCTAGACTGGAATCCAGATAATTTCTCTGGATCAACGTTGAGAGACCTTAGACATAATGAAAATATTGGATGTCCTTTATGCTATAAAATCTTAATACCATGGACCCTAAAAAAAATCCCCTAAAATAAAAGTATTTGAATAAAAAAAGATAAGAAGGAAATTTAATATTGTGACGCCCCCCAAAATGTATTAAGAATAATTCATTCATAAGATCAATGAGCATAATGAAGATGATATACTTTCATTCATCAGAGTTTATATTACAAAAGGTGTTACATGCATTGTACATTCATAAACGTTCATTCTGAATCTAAAGCACGTAAAACAAGTTACTGACAACGGAGTAAATGTCCTATGGGCTTGCATCTTTCCAAGATAATACTTGGTTATAACAAAATAATGGGTCCTAAGCTTAATACATATAAAGCCCCTTGGCTTGAATAAACATTTAAACATAAATATAACAAAAATAGAGCCTTTAGCTCCTAAGTCCTCCCAAGCTATGTCCTTGGAGGAAGCTTATCACCTGTACGTGAAAATGGTTTCCCAAGTAGAGTGAGT